TCTCTTGGTTGGGGACATGAATATTTGAGTCAAATCTTACTGATCACACCAGCAAATTCAGACCCACTTTGGACCCAGACATTGAGATTGTCAAACCTCAACAGATCCTCAATCTTGATCAACCTCAACACTATATCAAACATTGCAAAATTGGCCCAAAACTTGCACTGTTCTGGCTGCAACCATACATTTTGCTTCCTCAGAATTTCTAACACCTCTTGCACTACTGCTTAACGACTTACCCCTGGTCTAGTATAAATGAGGATATCATCCTGATAAGCTGCAACGTCTCGACCAATGTGGGCCTTTAGAATATCCTGAATGAAATATTGAAAAATCCAGGAGGGCCTGGTGGTCTGAACGGCATTGTCAAGGGCTCAAACTGACCTGCCTTGCAAATAAAAGCCAGCTTGGCTTCATCACCTTCACATACTTGGAGGTTATTATAACCATTGTGCATGTCTCAGCTAGTGAATTGGTCTGCATTTAACAAGCTATCAATGAACTCCATAGTTAAAGGTAATGGGTACTTATTCTTTATTGTGACAGAATTCATTTCCCTGCAGTCCAAACAAGATCACAGATTACTGTCCTCCTTTCCCGTGAATAGAAAAGGAGCAGCCCATGGTGAGGTGGTTTGACGTATTGTGCCGTTTGAAAGTTCTTTGTTGAGCATTCCATTCAGTGCTTCAGCTTCCTCACGCAACAGTGGTATCACTTTTCCTGCTTGTGGTGTGGTGCGGGGGTAGGACATTGGAATTGCATTTTTCAAACATTGGAAGATAATCATGATAGCATTTTGTTTCTAGGTCTTCTGCTTGCTTCTCCTATACCTTCTTGGCCTCTTCTGCGGCAATTTTTGAGACAGGTTCCAAGATGTTTTAGTGGCTGTTGAAGTGTTCAATTGAGGAAAAGAAGAAAGATACCTATCATGATGTTTGTAGGGCCTAAAAATTGCTGAAATGTTTTCATTATTAGTGTTGAATGTCATGTTCTTAAATTGCTCTGTTTGGTACACAATTTTGGAACTAAAGATGGCTTGCTAGCTGTTTCCAAAATCAGAATATTGGGAAGGGTACATGTACTTAGCGGGAGCTTTCTAGAGAACATAAGTTTCTCAAACCCCTTGTCACTTTGCCATATGCCTCTCAGGCTGCAACTCATTGTGGTCCATCATGGTTTTGGTTGGCGTAGCCAACACTACATCTTCCATAGTGGCAGGTACTTTGTGATGGCTTTCTACTTGCTGATTGTTGTCCTTGAGTTATGTTTTAAGTTTCAAGGAATGTTCTGGCTTTCCAGCTGCTTCAAGACTTTTAGAATTTGGTGAAAAATACTCACATTTTGGGGGTGTTAATTGTTGAGAGACACCTCAGTCTCTCGTACCTAGGTTTCAGCCGTGGTGAAAGGTGAATAAGACTCTAAGTATCAAATCACTTTACATACTAAAATACAGTAGTTTTATTCAAACTTAAGATATCAGACTTAAACTTAAATGATCCCTATTTAAATTGCGCCTCCCCCTTTTCGCGCTAATACTCTTTTCCTTTATCCGTCTTCTTACGGAAAGGAAAAGAGTAAGTTCAACCCCTTCACTACATTATCATCAATAGTCTCTACTCTCCATTAGTTTGATCTTCACTATGACTATTACTAATTATTGTACTGTGATGTTATCTTTTTCTTTTTCATCTGGATCATTGTCGACGCTAGATCTTACTGAACTTATCGCGTCAACCCTTTTCCTTATTTTATATTGTGACCTGAACAAACCTTATAGGTCAGATACTTAGTCAACTGGTCTATTCTTTCTATTCTCTTCATCTAACAAGTAGTTTCTTTTTGTACTTGTCTATTTCTATCTTTTGTTCTATATAGGTTAGTATTTCAGGTATTGTGACGAGAAGTGATTGAGACTCACTTCTAGAAACTGTCACGGGAATTCAGGTGAAATATATCCGTCTTCTTACGGAAAGGAAAAGAATCTTACTGAACTTATCGCGTCAACCCTTTTCCTTATTTTATATTGTGACCTGAACAAACCTTATAGGTTAGTATTTCAGGTATTGTGACGAGAAGTGATTGAGACTCACTTCTAGAAACTGTCACGGGAATTCAGGTTAGTATTTCAGGTATTGTGACGAGAAGTGATTGAGACTCACTTCTAGAAACTGTCACGGGAATTCAGGTATCTCGACAAAGAAGATTTGTTGCTTTTCATGGTAGCGAGAGTCTGGTTCAGCTCTTAGTTATTTCATTCGAAACGCAAATCTATGTCAGGAAGAGAAGAAACACTTGACGATTCCCAGTTACCAACACCTGCATCCACCCCAACTCCATACTCAGAGGATACCGACGAGACTTACGCCGGATCTCAGACGGAAGATCAATCAGAGAATTCGAATTCATCCGAATCAGCTCATTCAGCACATACTACAGTCCCATCCGCTAATATGGCTACCACTGCACCAATTGACACTGATACGCCCGCTCAACGTCAGTCAATCAAAATGAATTCAATCTTACATAAGATTACCATCAACATCAAGTTATCAACATCCAACTATGTTGCCTGGTCCGACGCGATTCGTTTTGGATTAATGGCCACATCCTATGACCATTATCTTGACTCGGAAGATGCTGGAGGTACAGATATGGACCCCGAAGTCTTATCAGCTACTAAGAAAGCCCTGTTTTACTGGCTACTATCTAGTATTGACCTTACTCAGTCCACTCGATTTATATCAATGATATCGAAATTCGAGAACGGTATTAAAATTACGATACCGTCACCTTCTTTACTGTGGAAGACGATTCGCGAATATCATATCAGTAATTCAGAGTCGGTCAAGCTCATGTTACGAAGTGAAATCACTGATTTGTCTCAAACATCCACAAAAGACTTATTAGAATACATCGATATCTTCAGAGCAAAAGTAGACGCTTACCTAGGTTCAAACGGTGAAATGTCCGAAGAAGAACAGGCTCGCCAATTTTTCCGATCACTCAACCAAAGCTGGGCTGAAAAAGGCTGCGATTTATTAGACGCTGGTCATGTAAAATCCAGAAACCTTGAAACAGAATTGAAGAAAACCTACCAAACTCGAAAAATGTTTTCCTCCAATCGCCAACAGTCTAGTCGCATCGCAGAATCTTCCAAAGCCAGTCAAAGCCGCCGGACTGGAAGATGGCAAACTTGCAGCAAGACTAAGTGCCTAGGTCAGGACCATCCGACAAAACCTCACGATCAGTTGGAATGTTACCATCACCCCAACAATGCCAGCAAAATGGAGTCATGGAAACGATCCAAACAAGAATCTGGAGAGTGGATCGAGTATCCACGTGGTGGCCGTGGTGGAGGTCGTGGTGGTTTTCGTGGTAGAGGTCGCGGTGGCCGAGGCGCTCATCTAGCCAGAGGATTCAATCATCATTCTAATATCTCAGATTTCCCAAATTCAGAAGATCTCAATATGGCTTTTGAAAATCTCAAACTCGAAGAAAGAGAAGTTAGTTACCGAGTAGAGATTGATGGAAAGTTTTCATGCTCAGCCGATCCTCAAGTAACTTGTGCTGGAGATAAATGTGGTTCAGTCGCTCTGATCAATACCGGAGATTCGCATCACATGTTTCATGATGCGAGCTTATTCGAATCCGCTACATTAATGGAAAATCATGACCCCGGTGCTAAATTGAATCTCGCCGGAGGAGGTGCTACTCTCGACATTCACTCGATTGGGAATGTAAATTTATTAAATTCTAAAGGAGAAACCATCAAGCTGAAGGATTGTTTATACGTACCCGATTTATCCCGAAACCTCATCGCTGGAGGCCGTTTGCTGAGAGCTGGTGCTGTTACGACTGTGCTGGAAGACCCTCATTTTCGAATCGATCATGGGAAGAAGGAGCTATTCATAGGGCAATTTATCGGAGAAGGCAGTATGATGTACGTGGCCATAAGATCACCGGTCAGTCATCGTTCACATCTATCATCAATATCAAAGTCGAATCAACTCACAATTCTGAAACTACACTATTCACTAGGCCACCCGAGTGAAAAGTACCTAAAAAGAATGTGGAGCCTTGGTTATCTTGATGATGTACTTCCTAAAACTGTCACTACAAATGATTTTGAAATAATAACAAGATGTCCAGTTTGTCCTTTAGCAAAGAATCATCGCCTACCATTTTCATCCACTAGACCTAGAGCTATCAAATTCCTAGAAAATGTGCATGTGGATTTGAGTGGAATAATAAGAACTTCTTCCGTCAACCAAGAGGAATACTATATATTGTTCACAGACGATTATAGTAGTTACCGAGTCTCTTTTGGCCTACCAGACAAAAGTGCCGAGACCGTTTTTGAAGTCTTCAAACGATACATCAGTTTTGCCGAGAGACAGACGGGTGAGAAACTTAAGATGTTCTCATTTGATGGAGGAGGCGAGTTCATCAACGGGCTCCTCACTCCATACCTCGAAGACTTGGGTATCATCACTCGTGTTACGTCTCCTCATACTCCGGAAGAGAACGGCGTGGCTGAGCGTTCAAATCACCTACAATAATCCAACGAGCGACTTTGGTAAAAAAATCGCCACGGTGAAGGCCACCTTGAGTTCCAAGCCTAACAAACCCCATACGGTCATGGGTTTTGTTCTAAAAATTAAGCCACCCATATTAATTCCTGAGTACATGGGAGGAAACCCCATTGCTTCGAAAGTTTCGACGTGGGTTTGCATGTCACATGGTTTCATCGTCGGACTGCATGTCCCACACCCACTTCAGGCATCGAAAACGATGCCGCACCATTATATACATCTCTGGGGGTCCAACCTCAAGTGGTAGTATCCTGCGTGCGGATAGCTTGGGATGGCATCCCCGGATGATACTACCCGAAATGAGCGGTGCTTTGCATCGTCGATTGCCACGCCCGGCAATCCACACCATATCCTACCTAGATTGAGCAAGGTCGCATTCCGATCGTTCGTCACATCGTCACATCCTGGGATATCTTCCGCCCAGATGCGTGATCACACTCTTAGGACTTCACATACACTGTGACATTACCAATCGCTTTAAGCGACCACACATCAATGGGGCGACATACTCAGGGGTTCAGATCTTGATCGGTATCACATTCCGTTGAAGGCACCCACGACGTAGGTCTGGAAGGACGATTCTCATATGTAAAAATTTCAACCAGCAAAGGCTATCCTATGAATATAACTACCGACGGCAGATGATAGTGACTCCTCTTCACCCAGGGCTGTTGGTCTTCGTCACTGTTTGTTTGCTCATTCGTCACATTTTCCGATCCCCCCTATTACCTACAAACTGTAATCATGTCGTTAGGAGTCAATCGCCGTTCCCAGCCCGCCTACATCGCTTCCATCTTCGAAGTACATGCCCAAGTGAGATCAACTCTAATGTCTTCCCTTCACCATTCACGAGGTCATCGGCTGACAACCCCTCAAACCAGGTTCCAGCGACCATGAACGCTGCGTATGGGTTCCAGTCTGTTACCTCTGGAATCAACTGTGCCGGTATCGATGGCAACACTCCACTTGAACACGAGTTGTTCATAACCTACTATGCCGCTCAAGGCGTTGGTTTGAGCGTTGGCAACATGCACTACACTTCGGGCAAATTCTTGCCATTGAACAGTGATCCCACCCCTCAAATAGTTACCGAACTCAGTCACCATATTCCTGCAGGTGACGCAGACAATTTTTCAGGATCTTTGCTGAACAACGTAGCCCTCAATTCCATCGGCATCGTCGTCAGCAAGCGAGTCGTCCAAGAAGAAGCACACGAAGGAAAACCGACCTGTGTTTTTGTGATGCGACATACCGATTATAACCCGATGGTATGTTCACACTGTCCCCCTATCTGACGTGATCATGTTTTAATCCTTCCGCGTGTACTTCCTATGTTGTTACTCTCCTTAGACTGGGAAACTTTGCAAGTTCCTGCTTGAGTATTGGTGCCGTCCTGTTTGTAATTTAGTTAAGGCTATGAACATCATTCAGTTGGGCAAAGAGATGAGTGTCCACGGTTACGTCGTCGGAAAAGATATTCAAACCGACATGCGTGGCAACAAGGAAGTTAAGATGTATACTTTCCAAGTTGAAGTAAGTATCTTCCTACTTGGTGTCGCCCTCTTATATCCCACGCTGACTTTACATGCCTCAGGTCTATTCGATTTCCGTAGCAACAGGCCATGAAACCGTCAGGGCAGGTGCCAATCTCGCTACGCCGAATGCAACAAGCCTGACCAAAGGGGGTAGGGTCAGACTTCAACGGTAGGCTTCCTCAACCGTATATTTTTGATTTTTTTTGCTTTGCATCGTGCGTCTACTGACGGGTATTGCCGTTGTCAGTGCTACGGACAATCCATCATCAAGCGGGCCGGCTAGCTCGCCCACCCCCGGATCGAGTTCAAACGCTTCGCTCACTCTGGCAGGATTTTTGAGGTCATATACAGCCATCTCTGTGTCTCCCGTCCTGCTGATCATGGTCAATGCTCACAATTACTTCGCGCGAACCTCTACAGCCCCGTGCCCTTATACGGGTTACCGCAGCCGACTCCTGAGAACCAGGCTGAATTAGCGTCATACTTGCATCAAGTGTCCACGCTTCCGGGTAATGAAAATGTCAACCCTTCGGGTAATTCCAATGAAGCGGGTCCCAGCACCACACAACCAATGGGCCGAGCGAGTAAACGCGGCAGATTGTAATGCCTTACCAATGACCTGCTATATGATGTTTGTGAATCCTATCGTGTTCCGTCTTATTTCACCGTTGCTCTGATGGTGTATGATGATGTTAGGCCACTTCTCATTCCTATAAACTTACGGTGTCCAATAATGTTAGAGTACTTCAATTCGATCATGTTAGACTGCTTATCTTTCTTATAACTTTCGTTCACCGTATTCCTTTGCATTGGGCGTCATTTCTTGATATGGTTGAGCGCGGAACGTTTCCCGCATTTGTACCCAAAAGTTGTTTTCAGTTTGCGTGCTGTTTGTTCTCTCTGCAGAAACGTAGCAACTTCTCCTGGTACATTGCCGCTCTTCGTGCCTCTACGCACCCATGGCTGACCAGTGGCATGGAAACGTGTGTCCTGATATGAGAGCACAACGGTTGGCTCACATCTTCCTACTCGGATACGGCATGTCTATCGCAGGGAAGCAATGGCGGGAAAGATGTTCCATTCAATTTTTGCGTCTTTTGGTATCATCATCGTATTGGTTTTGCTGTTCATCAATGAACAAATTGATGTCATCGATTCTGGGCGAGTGTGTGTTTAATTTTCAATCCAGGTCGTCAGTTTTCTGAGGTGAAGTTTTGAGTTTCAACCCCAACATGCTATTCAAGACTTGCGTATTGGGACATGGTTGGTTTGTCTGTCTGTCGACTCAGGTGGACTGACGTAGCGTGAGTTGACAATGTTGAGTTGCCTTTGCCTTTATGTTCTGTTCAGGAGGCATTTTCGGCCGGAACCTACGCGATTTGTAGTGTGACATGATGGAAGGAAGGCAGGGTGGAACGCTCTACCTTTACAGCGTAATCCAGGTGGGTCAACTTTCGGGGTTGAGGTTTCAACCTCAACAAGCAAGGAAGAATTGTATATTGGAACATGGTTGATTTTCTGTAGACTCAGGTGGACTGACGTAGCGTCAGTCGACAATCTTCATTTGTCTTTTGCATTCATGTTCTGTCCAGGACGCATTTTCGGCTGAAGGCAAGCAACTCACGGGATTCGCAGTGTTACATGGTGGATAAAACGTAACGTGGAACGTACGGCGCCAGCTTGACAGCTCCAGCATTGAACGCTACACTTGAGGAGGATGGCATGAAGGAATGTGAAGTCAGACGGTGCATATCTCACTCACTATAACGTATACCAGACCTTTTTGGTGGATTCGCACACTGCAACTAATTTTTGCTTAGGCCTTAGGTATCGAAGGCACATATGAAACATGAAATGAAGGGATGTGAGGTATAAAAATTGCATATATTAGTGAATGTGAGCGTATAGGAATCATTTTGGGACATTCGCGGCCTGAAATGCGACTGTGGTAATTACATGCAGTTGTCATCTGGCGTCATGCTTCTGCTGGGTGTATCAGAAAAGCTCGAGGACCTTGCCTAAAAGCGAATAGTCATGAACCTGAGTAGATCACTGCAGACATTATTTGGGTTCCCCAAGTGGGCAGGGAAAAATGATTGGGAGTATGATTTGTCATAAAATGGTCTATCACTCCACACCTGAGCCATAACACCCACACTACATATGTGTAGCAGGCTCAGTGAATATGTGGTTATCATGTACATACAGTTCTGCTCAGTTATCTGCTCATCAGGACAAGTTATTCATATGTAATACATGCTGTAACTTCTTTCAGATTGAAAAAAGCTTCCAAAAGATTGACTACATACACTGACTCAATGTTTTGGTGTGATCTCATCAACTCAACTGCATGTAACACACTTTCTGTTACTAAGACATAGCTTCAACAATATTGCCTGAGCAGCTACAGAATTATATGTAGTGAATTTTTGGGAAAAAAATTTCAAAGTCGAAAAAGTTACATGTGGTATAACATGTGATTTATTTATTCTGATGGGCAAAAAACTGAGCAGACCTGTATGTACATGATAGACAACTATTGACTTAGCTTGCTGCACATATGTAGTGTGGGTGAAATGGCCCAGGTGTGCAGTATTAGATTCTTTTATGAAAAACTGTACTATTAATCATTTTCCTCTGCCAAATTGGGGAAGTTGAATGATGTTTACAGTGGATAGATTTCATATGATGTCAGGTCGGGGTGCGAAATTGGAAGTAAAATTCAAAGTACCTACTTCAACCACGAAACGTTGTGTCGCCAGGTCCTTTCTGACCACGTTTCCTTTGACCCACATTGCTGCGCCAGGATAGATGTGTTTCCATTCAAATGGGAATGGAGTCATGAGGCCAAAGGTATACGTAACGACAAACTCGATAAGCTTTTGTTGCTGCGTACGATGCAGATTTTTTAAACCTAATGGGTCAGCGACTCCGTCATGCATGAAAAAGTCATCTGGGCTTACCAAAGGGTCATAGTATTCGTGTTGAGCATTGACAGTGAGATGCCATCCTCCCATCTCCTCTACGTCGTCGAGATGAAAATCGGTCACCTTGCCGATGCCCGTGAGCACTGCGTGCCCGGCAAGCAGTGCATGTGGAGGAGGGTCGCAACCGAGAAATGTGCGAGTCTCAGAGCAAAAGGTGATTGTCGCTTGACCGGTGGCAGGGTCTACGCCGAGCGGACCGCTAAGTTGATAACTGCGGTTCGCGCGGAGCCTTTCTTGCGGTATGACGTGGCCAAGGGCTTGCAGGGGTACGGCTTGAGCGTCTTTCATGATGATTTCCGTCGAGTTGGAATAATATGGCATGAATTCGTCGCCCCCCACGGGAATCGCCTGCAGTGAAGAGGGTATTTAATCAGAAGGATGTAAACAGATGATCGTGGGGATGGAGATGCCGACCGCTCACATCATAGGCCGTGGTGAGGGTAGTGTTCAATATGGCAGGGTAAGGCATGGCGGACGTGACTATTGGAGTTTGTTGTGTGAGGTGGAATCGGATGGCAGCTGGCCTTAGGTATAAATGAGGTTTGATTAGCGGTCCACAACGAAATCGATGACACACCGAAGGGGGTCCTCTGCGTCTTGGGCCCTTGAGGTCGTGAAACCGATACAAGTGAGGTCCGTCGTAGGAAACCCTGATATCAAATAGCTCAACTGGAACTGGCCATACGTCGGTGGTGGTATGTACTTCGGAGGTGGTACTTTGCTTCTTTGCTGATGATGTACATACTGTGGGTCGAGAATGTGAGTGCTTAGTGACGAGGGCATATGATAATCCAGCCAAGAGTTCAAACATCGACCTGGTAATTTGTCTCATTCAGAGTCTGGGCTAAGCGTGGTCATTTGAACAGGGTCTCACCATGTCATTCCGCGAAGCCAGTACCACTTGTTGGCGCTGTCACACGGCAGTGCTTATCATCACAATCCGCAACAAGAACATCAGCGTTTCGGAGGGTAGGAGTTTTATTTTCTACGTGAAAGAAGCTGTTTGGCGGTGATGAAGAGAGTCATGAGTGATAACATTGACCAATCAGTGCGTAGAAAAGGAGTCATGAGTGATCACATTTCCCAATGAGTGCGTCACTTTTCTTGCGTTGGCACATTGATCACAATGTGCCTTCTTATGCAAGCTTTATGGCACGAAATTATCCCTAGCTGAAACACAGCACTGTTTGGATAGGGTGGTCTGATTGACGTTGACATCAATTGAAATTCGACCTCCCGAGAGCAGACACATTGAGCTCCATATCAATTTCTTCCTTTGTGTTGAAGCTGTTTGTGAGCACACAAATAATCGTGGGTTTTTTTCTTCACTGCACTGCGACTACTCGACACCAAAAAAACAAATCAGTTGATTATTTTGGATTGCAATTTACTGTCATATGAGCCGCAGTGTCACCTTTACCTTTCTTTAATGGTCCACTTCGGTCCCGCCATTCGGCACGAGCGCGAGAATAATGAGGCGGGTATTCTGCGTCGCTTCCATGCTGAGATTCCACATTACATTGGACCCCGCAACGACCGGTGTGAGGGATGTGGAGCGCTTCACTGGATTTCGGAAAGGCCAAAAGGAACACAAAAGTCACGGCCATATAGCTACTTGGAGTGTTGTCATAAAGGTGGTGTGTCGCTGCCGGTTCAATTTTCTGGAAGCCGTGCGGTGCCTAGGTTCTTGGAGTACCTCCTGACGTCGCAGGATAATGGTAAGCTGTCTTCGCGCGCACGGGTGTGTCTCCTACCTCCATGAATATTGAACTCACATTCAGAATTCAGCTTCTCGGGAATTTTGTGCTTTGATTAGGTCGTATAACAACGCCTTGTCGTTCACGTCGCTAGGTGCAAGGATTGACAGAAGTGTAGATGGTCCTCTGGGTATCAACACCTTTCGTATCCAGGGGGAGCTGTCGCACCGCATTGGAGGTCTTTTACCGTGTGGTGACATCGACCCGGGGTTTTCTCAAATATATGTGGTGGGAGATGGAGGTACGACTGAGGCTCGGCGTCGATCGGCCGCGGCAGGCAAGGACCTGAACCTTCGAATATTGGAAACTTTCCAGCGTTTCTTCGACTGTTTCAACCCCTATGCCCAATGTTTTCGCCGGGCTGGTGACGTGATTGCAAACAATCCAACCGCCGCGTTGCGCGTGCGTACCATGGCGCCCGGTAATAGAGATGCTAGACAATACAACAGGCCGACGACCGACAAGGTCGCCATGGTGATAGAGGGTAATGGGGAGGTGGGAGAAACGGGGAGGGATATCGTTTTGTATCTTTGACAAGGGGGTTTTGAAAGAATTTCAGACTTACACACTGGGTATCTGGCGTTGCGGTACCCAATCCTGTTTCCCTGGGGCACACAAGGTTACGACGAGCACTACCGGATGGCTCAAACCCAACGTAAGTTTTTTGCTCGGTGGCCGTTGAAGAAAACACCTGACTTTGAGATGCTTTAGATTAGACCGAGGGGGAAAAATTACGAACCTTGAATGGTTCGCTTATGTCTTGTTCACACGGCCAAATGAATTCTCTGCTATTTTGGCTTCTGGAAGATTGCTTCAGGAGTTGACTGTTGACCTATATGTGTGCGTGGAACGGTGGAGGTTGCATTTCATAAAATCACAGCAGGTGTTGTTGCAAGCGTGCCTTTACTCCGGGGCGGTTGAGGCTATGGGACGTAATGATGTTGCTCCGAGCCAGAGAGTCATCCTGCCTTCGTCTTTTGTCGGGGGACCGCAGTACATGTCGGAATTGTATCAAGATTCAATGGCGTTGGTACGGCACTTCGGGAATCCTTCCTTCTTCATCACAATGACCACAAACCCAGAATGGCCCGAGATCACAGAGCACCTAGAATACGGACAGACCGCACAGGATAGGCCGGATTTGGTAGCTCGCGTATTTCAACTGAAGTTCGCAGAGCTCTTAGATGATGTTACTAGAAAACACCGACTAGGGCTCGCGGTATGTTGGGTCTGGACCATAGAATTCCAAAAAAGGGCTCTACCTCACGCCCACCTGTTGTTAATCCTCGCCAAAGAGTCGACGCCAAAGACTGCAGCAGATATCGATAGACATGTTTCAGCGGACCTGCCGGATCCTACAACCAATGCCCACCTACACTTAGCGGTGAAGAATTTTATGATCCATGGACCATGTACACGCGATCGAGCCTGTTACTGGAATGGCCAATGTCGCCTGGAGTATCCTCGCCCTAACTGTTCGACTACCAGCATCGGGGAGAATAGCTATCCAACGTATAAGCGTCCTGCTCACGGTCGAAGTGTCGAGGTCGGCAACCGGCGGTGTACTAACAGAGATGTGGTCCCTTACAATCCTTTCTTACTGCTCAAATTCAACTGCCACATCAATGTGGAGATACCCGTTAGTATCCGCGCCATCAAGTACATTTACAAATATATTTCAAAAGGACATGATCGGTCAGCTGTTTCCGTGGAGTGCGATGACAAGACATTCAAGTACGTGGACGGGAGATTCATAAGTGCACCAGAGGGTGAGTAAATTTTGAGGTGGCATGTGGTAATGATACTTAAGCTGACAAGTGTCTCACAGCTGCCTGGAGGCTGTTCCAATTCGAGATCGCAGGGCGATTCCCCAGTGTACAACGTCTTTTGTTGCACTTGGACGGCGCGCAACAGGTGTACTTTGTGGAGGGGGATGATTTGGTTGAAAGGATCGATAGTCGAAGGGCAAACAGGACTACGTTGACGGAATTTTTTCGGCTTGCCCGCGAAAACTTTAAAGTCGGATCGGACGGGCCAGCCGTTAAAGATCTGTTGTATAGTGAAATGACAGAGTTCTTTTCATGGAACGATGACCAGAGGAAGTGGAAGGTTCGGACCCAGAAGAGTCGGGCGATCTCAAGGACGTATTTTGCAACCTTAGCCCACGGCGAACGATATTACCTACGACTCTTGCTCAGTCACGTCAGGGGTCCTGCTGGTTTTGATGATATTCGTCGGGTGAATGGACATCTCCACCCAACCTTTCGAAGCGCTTGCCACGCACTAGGTCTCCTAATGAATGATGAACACTACGACACATCAATGCGGGAGGCTTCAGTATGGAAAACGGGGAATGGACTACGACAATTTTTTGCCTTGATATTGAAGCATTCACCGCCTGCAGACCCAGTCACCCTATGGGAAAATCACCGAGAGTCTCTGTGCGATGATTGTGGGCATGCTATAAGCAGGGAACATCCTGATCTGCAGGTTAGCGTGGAAATGGTACACACCCTGGGCCTATATTGACTGGATCAGTGCTTAAAGGAAATGGATTCTTCGCTAAGTCATGCTGGTCTGCCTGCTGCAAACATCGACATCATGAGAATGCTTGGAAATCTTTACGATGAACAAGTTAACGCGGATCATTCACCTGAGCACAGCGCCGCGGTGGTCGCCGACGCTGAAATGAAATTAAATGTGGACCAAAGGAAGGTCTACAATAAGGTGGTGGAGTGTCTGCGTGATGGAAAGTCTGGCATGATGTATCTTGATGGGCCGGGTGGAACTGGGAAGACCTTCGTTTTGAACGCCTGTCTTCATTATTGCAATGCGAACGGGATAACGGGTCAAGCGGTGGCGTCCTCCGGTGTCGCAGCGCTGCTGCTATTCAAGGGTCAAACGGCACATACTGCGTTCAAGGTTCCATTGCAAACGACGGACGAGTCAAGGTGCGGCTTTGGCCTAGGTGAACGCTTGGGGGAAACCCTGAAGCAGCTGCGGTTTCTGGTGTGGGATGAGGTGGCCATGCAAAACAACTCCGTGTTGCTTTGTGTGGATAGAAGCCTGCGGGACCTGCGACAGTGCGATGAGCCTTTTGGTGGGGTCACTGTACTTTTTTCAGGTGACTTTCGGCAGACGTTGCCGGTCGTACGTTGTGCAAGTATCGAACAGCAAGCCCAGGCGTCGTTGAAAAGATGCCACCTATGGTCTGATATCGAAAAGTTTACCCTTTATGAAAATGTTCGGTTGAGGGGGAACCAGGACGACAGTGATGAGACCCGACAATCCAACGCCGAGTTTGCAAGATGGCTTCTGACGTTGGGTGATGGAAGTAATCAGGTGGATGACATCGCCCCTGTGGATGTCGGGCAGTGCCACGTAACCAATGTCCCACATACTGCGCGGATTGACCTCACCCCTGTTAGCCAGATGTACGGGGAGGCACGAGATTTGATACGGTGTAGCGATTGGTTGGCGCTGACCAAATTCTACGCGGAAAGATGCGTTATTACACCACTAAACAAGGAGGTTGCGGCGATCAACGAGGCTTGTTTAGACCTTGCCGAAGGGGAAGAGTTGCACTCAACGTCCATCGACGAGATGGACGAAGACTACGACGAGCCCGTGGTCACGGAAATTCTCAACTCCCACGATTTGCCCGGCTTCCCTCGCCACAAGTTGAGGCTGAAGCGTGGGGTACCCATCATTTTGCTCAGAAACCTGAACCTGGCCCAAGGTCTCTGCAACGGGACGCGGCTGGTTGTTACCGCGTGTGGGTCATTGGCTTTAAGATGCCGCGTCATCACTGGTGAGAAGAAGGGTCGCCTGGTAATCATTCCGCGAATCAAATTACTGCATGAAGGTAATGAGGTATTCCCGGTCCGTTTTTATCGATTCCAGTTTCCAATAGCGGTGGCATATTGCATGACTATCAACAAATCACAAGGACAGAGCCTTGACAAGGTCTTGGTTCTTTTGCCAGACGCAGTGTTCTCACACGGACAGCTGTATGTAGCGTTGTCGAGGTGCACATCGGCAGCCGAAGTCCAATTAAGTATGACCGATGCCTTTGGATATAGTAAGACTGTCAATATTGTGCATCGTGCATTCATTGCTGAGTGAAAGCGAGTGTCTGTTTGGAATTTATGTGTTAGACGAGCGAATGACGTAATGAAATGAAAGATTGAGTCCGAGTTTTTGCTTTATGTCCATATTTCTAAGGGGCCACACAGGAATGCGGTGGGACGGGACCTTTGGTACCGTGATCGTAACCACATTCCGGACTGTATACTGTGCTCTTATGGTCGCATATGGGATGGCCGCGATGTCCGTACTTGACTCTTAGTATAGTACGTTACCAACCAATGAATGTCTGAAGGTCTCTATTCTGTCCAACCAGGACCGTGCTGCATCGAAGATCTCTATGACGAGGGGAAATACAAAATCGAAGGGTTCAGTGAACCGGCATGCTTTCCATCATTGCTTCCTATGACAGTGGACTGACCTAGGGTCCGGGGATACAGGTATTGAACGCCTGAAACAATAGTCCTTATGAGTCACCATGGCAAAGCGAGTGCCATCGCTGAACGTACCAAGCAATTTTTTGGTAAACGAAGAAGCGTGCCTTATCGCTCTGGAAGGCCTCATAATCATCGTGCACCAAGAGGAGCAGACGCCTCGAATCACACGACAACGCCTGGATTCGTGAGTGTAATGAGGTGTCCCTTACACCGTCAGGGTTCCAATTGTCACACACGCCACACTGATCTTTAGGGTTTTCTTTCTACGCACATGGGGGCTGCGTTCTTGGTGTCATTTCTGTCCCAACAGGTACCCGGGACGTAGCTTTGCAGTGCTGGATTAGTATTCCAGGGTTCGCCTGGCCTAAGTGATTGCAATTGCATTGATCATTGGATTTATAAATGCATACAATATGATCAATGAATGCCTTCCCGCCTCATTCCGTTATTGCTATCATCGTTAAAAAAGGTATCGACACATTCATTATATTCCACATACTTCACGATGCCTTTGTTTTCTACGTTAAACCTCATGCCCAAATTGGATCCTGGTGTGCTTCCGCCAGAGGTCGTAGCGCGTATCATGAAGCATTACTTGGACATAGCAGCTTTCAAGCCCACTAACGCCATCAACAGTGGGGAACAACGCGTCCTGATCATACGTACAACTATCTACATGCAACGATTACGGCTCATCTCTCGGGTCTGGGCAAGAGTCGTTCCTTATTTCCTCTTTGATTCGGTACGCCTACAGAGTCAAGCAATGGCACATCATCTTCTGGAAGCTTGGCAAGGGTCGATCCTCAGCTCCCCCCTTTCACCTCTGCGTTCTCTTTCAATCGAGGACTTATTCGGTTTCTCTCCAGATCCCGAAGTTCACATTCCAGAAAGTGTGTTGGATCACTGGGGTCGCAGTATATCAGTGTATACAGGTGCCAAGATTATCCACACCTTTGGTACAAATATCACTAGCCTATCTTTGATCTTCGGTAATTGCATGATGGTATCGGATGACATGATAGAAGCGGTCAAATACATCAAATGTTTGGACAAACTTAGCCTGATCCGACGGAATGACTGGCCAAGACGGTTCTGCACCGACACAAATTCAATTGCCGAACTGTTGTCTTTCACCCCAACCGTGGAATCACTCTCTATGTCATTACCATATTTAGAACCTCACTTCATGTTCGATGACTGTCTGCCGTGCTTAAGGCATTTCTGGTTTGAATACTTTGCCAGCAGTCGAGTGGCCCTCTCTCAAATCGTTCGTGCAACAAGCAGAACACTCAACACAATAGAATACAACTCTGAGGATCCAATAACCAACAGACCAGCTGAAATTCTAGGGTTAACACGATCCCACTTAGAATATTTGTGTATTGACAACATTCCAACGAACTTACCCGAGACCACGTCATTCACCCTCTTCCCCAAGCTTCGGTGCTTACGATCGACGTCCTGGCCTGCCATGGACTTCAGTTTAGAATGGCTAGAGCGAAGCTTCTTTCGTTTGTTAAGGACTTTGGTTACTAAGTATAACAACGGTCATATATACTGGTGGCATGCGCTTCTTTTAATTCATGATGGACACTTTCCAAGGCCGCCCCACTTCAAGCACATAGTTTTTACCAGCGTAAGAGGCTCAAGTCAGGCTGATGACGAGTTAGTCTATGCATTCGGTAAATACGACATAGATTGCCACTTCATGCCAGAGCTGAAGTTCGAGGAAATTTTAGTAAGTCATGCTCTTTATATGTTTTACCACGCAGTGTTATGAAACGCTGGTGACCTTAATTGATCCCTTTTCTATGACACACAGGAGCTTGACATCAAGCTGAATGGGCCTGTGAGTGAGATACCCGATGACTGGGCTTGACGGACAGGGTGATCGCGGTGGGAATACAAAGTTTGCTATTCGATTGGCTGCGTCAAAAAATGACTGGCAATGATTGTGATGGTTGTAAAGAACTTTGTAATATGTCACTTCTGGACCTTCCTTGAAAATGTGGATATTGCACTCTTAACATGAACCTTTTGTGTCTTCCTCGAACTGCGATTCTTACACTTCAATTCCTTGCCACTTGATTACTGGGATTTTTTTTGGGTGTAAGAAAACAACGTCAGACTACGCTTTTGTCCCCTGCTTGATAATGTGATTGTTACTTTTGTCTTTGTGAAAATGGAATGGATATGACGTTAATTCAGGATCAGAATGATGAACGCAAGCGGTATCAGTACGACACAGGTATTTGGAACAATGGTAAATTTTGTCAATTAGATCCCGCCGCCTTAAGGCAGGGGTAAGTTGGAGCAGGGTCTAAGTGCATAAGGCGGCTGGCCGCCCAGGGTCTAGTAGAACAATCAACACAAAAGCTCGTTGCATGATGATACAGTCATGTATACCAATTAAATACTGGTATCACGCGGTCTCATATTCTGTCATGCTACAGAATCGAACTATCACAACTTCCCTTAATCTTAAAACTACTCCCTACGCCCTCTGGAAAGGAAGACAACCGAGTTTGAAACAATTTCTTCCTTTCGGGTGCCTCGCTTACCGCCACATTCGAAAAGAAATTCGAGGAGGAAAGTTTGAGGCTGTCTCTCGTCCAGGTATCCTAATTGGAGTGGCGGAGGATAATCACAATTTCATTATCTTGGATCAAGAATCAAATCAAATCCATACCAGTCACGACGTGACTTTTCAACCCCTTGTTTTCCCTTTTCTTAAGGATGCCGAAGACAACCCTGATTGGTTGTTTATCGAAGATCTGCCGCTTGAACCCACAGAAAGGAACGAGCCAGAAAATGAACCAAACGAGAACACTATGGCTCGTCCTGACTTAACGGATGACAAAGATGATATGTTGATGGAGAGTCTCACTCCTAAGACTATCTTAGAAACCCCTCCCATGAATCATGAGGATGAACCTCCCGTTGAAGAACGTCCAATCTCTATTACCGAAGACCAGACAACAACTATTCAACCATCCGTGCAAGATGAGCCTAGACGATCCACTCGTGATCGTCGTCCTGTCCAGCGTTACACTCCAGGAGAATCAGACTGGGTAGAAGCTCCATTTATGAGAAGTTTTGTACCAAAAATCTCACAATCCTCTCACTTATCAAAAGTATACATGTGTCAAGAAGCTATGAAGGCTAGGGCCGAACCAAAGAGTTGTAAGATGGCTATGAAGATGCCCGATGCTGACAAATGGAAAGCTGCGTGTGACAAGGAGATGCAGAACATTATGAACATGGGAGTGTGGGAAATTGTGGACCGACCAAAGAATGCACCTGTTGTAGGTGGGCGTTGGCATTTCAAATATAAAGTTCATCCCGATGGTACAATATCTAAACATAAGGCGAGATATGTAGCAAAAGGTTATACTCAGACGGAAGGCATAGATTTCAATGATACTTTTGCACCCACTGGCCGTCTAGCTTCATTTCGCATCCTTGTAGCAGTCGCAGCAGCTAAGAATTGGTCTATTGAGCAAATGGATGCTATAGCTGCATTTCTCAATAGTGATCTCAAGGAGGAAATTTACCTGGAGTTACCTGAAGGATACGACTCCGAGCGAGCAAACGGGAAGGTAGCTAGACTGAAGAAAGCGTTGTATGGCCTCAAACAGTCCGCTAGATGCTGGAGCGACGAAGTTAAAGATAAATTATTAAGTATTGGTCTAATTCAAAACCCTCATGACGCTTGTCTTTGGTATGGTAAAGATGAAGAAGGTCTGGAAACTTTACTCTACCTCCATGTCGATGATATGGCAATCACCGGAGATAAAATAGATGAAATCAAATCCCTGCTGAAGATGAAGTGGAAGATGGAGGACTTGGGTCCGGCACATTGTGTTGTTGGTATTGAGATCTACGCCACAGACAATGGGGGTTATGCTTTGAGCCAATCAGCTTTCATCCAGACGGTGCTGGAAAGATTTCATGCTGAAGATAGCAAACCGGCTTCGACTCCTTTTCCAGGCGGCACAAAGATCATGAAAGCCACCGACTCTGACGTTATTGAATTCAAACAATCTAACCTTCCGTATAACAGCTTGGTGGGTAGCCTGATGTACATTGCTCAGGGTACGAGGCCAGATATTGCTTATGCGGTAGGTGCTCTGTCTCAACATCTTTCTCGACCTTCAACTATAGCCTGGCAGATGGGATTACACGTACTTCGATATCTAAAAGGTACTCAATGCTTAGGACTACATTATTCACCTCAAGACAATGTCATTGAAGGGAATCAGAGCTGGTGCTATCCCGAATGCCACACTGATTCAGATTGGGCTGGTGATCCGAACACACGACGATCAACTACCGGTTATCTATTCAAACTTAACGGAGCTGCTGTAAGTTGGAAAAGTCGTTTGCAGCCCACCGTTTCTCTATCGTCAACCGAGGCAGAATACAAAGCTACAACAGAAGCTGGGCAAGAAGTGGTATGGCTTAGAGGGTTATTGTCAAACATCTCACTACCGCAATCTGAAGCGACGGTTCTATGCAGCGATAGTACAGGAGCAGTATCCTTGACCAAGAAAGCTATTTTCCACGCAAGAACAAAGCATATAGAAGTGCAGTATCATTGGATAAGAGAACAAGTAGAGAAGAATTTAATCAAGCTTAGGCATATTAGTACAAAGAACATGTTTGCTGACACATTAACAAAACCACTTCACCCCGGACCTTTCAAGGAATTGCGTCATCAAATTGGCTTAGAGGTAATACACGGACAGCTGAAACAGGGGGTGTGTTGAGAGACACCTCAGTCTCTCGTACCTAGGTTTCAGCCGTGGTGAAAGGTGAATAAGACTCTAAGTATCAAATCACTTTACATACTAAAATACAGTAGTTTTATTCAAACTTAAGATATCAGACTTAAACTTAAATGATCCCTATTTAAATTGCGCCTCCCCCTTTTCGCGCTAATACTCTTTTCCTTTATCCGTCTTCTTACGGAAAGGAAAAGAGTAAGTTCAACCCCTTCACTACATTATCATCAATAGTCTCTACTCTCCATTAGTTTGATCTTCACTATGACTGTTACTAATTATCGTACTGTGATGTTATCTTTTTCTTTTTCATCTGAATCATTTTCGACGCTAGATCTTACTGAACTTATCGCGTCAACCCTTTTCCTTATTTTATATTGTGACCTGAACAAACCTTATAGGTCAGATACTTAGTCAGCTGGTCTATTCTTTCTATTCTCTTCATCTAACAAGTAGTTTCTTTTTGTACTTGTCTATTTCTATCTTTTGTTCTATATAGGTTAGTATTTCAGGTATTGTGACGAGAAGTGATTGAGACTCACTTCTAGAAACTGTCACGGGAATTCAGGTGAAATATATCCGTCTTCTTACGGAAAGGAAAAGAATCTTACTGAACTTATCGCGTCAACCCTTTTCCTTATTTTATATTGTGACCTGAACAAACCTTATAGGTTAGTATTTCAGGTATTGTGACGAGAAGTGATTGAGACTCACTTCTAGAAACTGTCACGGGAATTCAGGTTAGTATTTCAGGTATTGTGACGAGAAGTGATTGAGACTCACTTCTAGAAACTGTCACGGGAATTCAGGTATCTCGACAAAGAAGATTTGTTGCTTTTCATTAATGAGTCATCAAGCTCCACCCCCTTGCTAAAATTCCTAGCAAACCTCATTGGTTCCAATTCCATGTCCTCTGAGGTGGTTTTTGGTCTTAGAAAAGTTATATCTGTAACTGAAATGCTTGCGTTGTCATGTTTCAGTTTGCTGTTTGCCCAGTCAATTGATGGATGATTCTTCTTAACCCACAGCATTCCCAGAATCACATTGTACTTGTCTTTTAGATTGGTGATAATGAAGGTTGTAAATGGTTTACAAGTTGAGTTGATGTGGAAATCACCTGTGCGTGCTATCCTAGATTCATGCCCACTTAATACAGTAACTGATTGGGCTTGTGGTAATTGTTCAGTTGTTAAGTTGTCTCTCAAACCAAAACTCTCACTCATTGCTTTTTGAGTGGCTGCGCTTTCCACCAGGTCTCGTGCAACCAAGGTTGTGGCAGTCTTGCTGTCAAAGATAATGACATCATTTAAGGACTTATATCACTACAATCTGCATGTAAGTTATCATAGCTTTGGGGGAGGCACAACTAGCACTCCCAAGCTTCTCCATTTTTTGAGCTTTCTGCACGACCTTCTTCCTGCACACTGTCTACTTCCACTACTTTTGATGTAAATGTATAATTGTGCCGACCCCTTCCTCTTCCACAACTCCTTCCTCCACCTCTTCCCCTTCTCTCATAACAATCAGCAATAAAATGATTTCCTTTTTTACAATTGTAGCATTCTCCTGATAAAACTCTTTGTTTGTATCTGTCTTGAGTGATGTTGAGACTATATGCAGAGCAATCCATCACATCTGGGTCTAGTTTTGATGACATAGGTGAGATTGGGTTTGGCATTGTTGATAGTGGAGTTGTATCTTGAGCACATTTATTAAATTTGTTGTCTGTTTTGATTGCAACTTTGGCCATCTCTTCTACATCTACAAACACGTCTTGCACCATGTAAACTGATACTTTGCTCTTTAATTCTTGCCCAAATTGTGACATTAACACAGATTGAGGCCATTTGACTACTAATGACAGTTTGGCAAAACAAATCCAGTAATCAGACACAGTCTTAACCTGCTTTAAGGCTTGACCTTCTCAGCTTTTGATATTTGTTCCAAATAAAAAAAGGTGGTCTTAACTGAATCAATGAAATGCTTCCATGTGATGGTGTCAGCTTCTTCTGGGTTTGGCAATCAATCAATTTATACTTGTCCCCACACACTAGCTTTACCCATTACAATGGCCAAGTGTTCTTACTCGCGAAAATCCCGGGCAACTGCCGTCTGGGACAATTTCATGTAT